TATATCCGTAGATTATGCCTGGTTATGTTGTCTTTAAAAGAAAAGTAATCAAGCAAGTTCGGTATCGTGCCACAATTTGTGCATATACAATTTTATGTGGAATTCAAAGTCAAAACAGTACTTCCGCGGGAAATAATGCATCCGTCGTTCTTCGTCTTCCTGAAGCTATGCGATCTTGGCTACAGGACTTTTGGGTCCACAAAATATCACGCTCAGTAGAAAATTCGCATTTTCTACCAAAAGTACTGGAAATTATTTATTTTTCAAACAGGTCGGGTGGTGATGCGTGTTTGAGTGTAGGACCGTTGACTGGGCACTGGTTCGCGCCAAGCTGTGCTTCCTTTCATGCTGCCCGCGACGAGTGTTGAAATTTGAATATAGCAGAAATAAAATCAACTGACACCCTTAGAATTATTTTAAACTTGCGCTTTCTTCAGGCATTAAAATTTTTATCGTACCTTTTATTCATTGTCGTCTTCGATGAGGGAACAACTTGCCGAGGAGGCCGCGCTGTCCGCGTACGCGGCTTGACAGACGCAGCCACTTTACGCCAATGAAACCAACTTTATGTTTTGGGCAGACGTCTTGCGAGAGTTGCAGTATTTTCATTATGCCTAATAAATTACATGTTTAGGACTAAGTACCAAACTTTTTTAGATTTATTAAGAACCAAAATGTCATTTGGAAAGTTCTACAGCTGCTTGAGAAACACCCGATTAGCTGTTTGCAACGTGATACGGCTCGCGTGGCTTCCTTCTGACTAGTAATAAAGCTTATGAAACATGACAAAATACCCCGTAATATAGCGCCCGCCCCATCATAAACTCAATTTCGAATGTACCGGTATTTGTTTTCATAGGCCGGAAAAAGAAAGAGATGCATGCTTTATTTATATCAGAAAAGAACTGCCCTCTGTTTTATATACAACGTTTATTGTTTTGTTTTTTTCACCTACTAGATATCACAAAAAACGTGGAAATTAACGTTTTGTCGATGTGAGCTATGCGGCCAGGCGAAGATTGGGTTCAAGAAAGAACGCAACAAAAACCGGCTGATTACCTAATATTTGTTAATTAACTTTTTGATTATAAAAGAAAACGGGATAGTTGATTTATAAAGTTGTTAGGCGTAATCGAAAGCCACCAAATTGTGCAGTGAAAATTAGCGCCATCGCGGTTTGTGCAGGTAAGTTATACGGCCAGGCGAGGATAGGGTTCAATAACGTACGCCACTAAAACCGACCGATGGCCTAAAATTCGCTAATTAACCTTTTAATTAGAAAAGAAAACGGCATCTTGTATTTGGAAAGTTGTTGGCCATAATCGTAAGCCACCAAACCGTCCATTCTTAAAAAGATGTAACGCGCGTACACTGTTATACGGCGTCCTCCTAATTTGGGCGCGAAAATATAGTTTTGATTTTATGTGGGCTCCATCTCCGCGTGGCACAGCCTAACGCCATGAAGCCAAAGCGACAAATCATGCGCATCGCTGTGACAACGCCACTGTAGAAGGGGCGAGGAGTGCGCTGGCCGAAAAGATTGCGGTAACACGATTCCCGTCCAAATTAGGCTTTTTAGGACGCCGTGAGCCACTTCACGTCTCTTTAAAAATGAATGATTTGTTGTTTTTGATGACTACAGATAAGGCAAAAACCGCAATTGCGTAACTCTGCAGTCTTTTTTAGAAAAATGTCTAGTCGTTAAAAAAAATCGCCCTGTATAAGCACGATTGTAAGGCAGTTCTTTACGTCTGGCGACATCATTACGGCATAAAAGGAGACGTTGACCACAGATCATCATACGCTGTGTATGATCGGTGGTCACTGTTTCTTTTTTTTCGTACGAGAATGAGCAAACATTTGATACCAAATAAAATAGATTTAGCATTGACCAAATTCGGCTTGTTTACTTGATTCAAATCGATATTTGATTTGATTACAATTATTTTGTACCCCCACACGCCTACTTTATTCCCTAATGAGTTACAAGTGATAATTACATTGTTTTTTGTTGTTGTTGTTTTTGTTGTTTTTTTTGTCGTGCGAGGTCATTACAATTTATTATTAACAATCGGAGCTATGCGATTACGCGGAGGAGGCGCATTTGAAGATATTCAAAATTGTTCTGAATGCACAAACAACCTGAAACGTCTTGCTGTTTGGGTCGTTTCCTACACGCAGGACCAATAATAAAGCCAAAACCTTATAGAGGAGACTATCTCTATCAACTCAACGCACAAACACGATGTGAAGCGTGTCTGCGTACGTTGGAAAAGAGAGACCGGCGAGCAAACCATAGCGTCAAATGTCCATGCATCAAAATGTCCGTGCACAGAAATATCCGCGCACCGAAAAGTCTTTGCAGCAAAAAGTCCGTACACTGAAATGACTGTGCACCAAAAAGTCCGCACCGAAATGCCCTACAGCCAAACGCTCTACACTGAAAAGTACTAGACCCACTACGGATGGGATCCTCCGTCACCTCTGCCGGTTTACGAACCATGATGATTCAGAACCACTGGTCTATGGAGCGCCATCCCTGATATACCGAAAACGCTGCTCGTACTTCCCGTTGTCGCCATGAATCCGCCTAAACAACGAAAGATGCCAAATCAGATATTTATATTAAAATTGATACTTCAATGACTGCTTCTTTGAGCAGAAGAAGGCATTTGTGCTCTCACAACAGCAAAGAATCGTCTTCCAAACCAACGCTAAAAAAAAGCCAATGCAACTCGTTGGGAAGAGCAAGTGCCAAGCTCGCTCAAAACAGCTACATCGGTTGGTTCAGCTCCTTGTCGCAGGTGTGCCGGCTGGCTTCAGGATAATCTTTTCAAATCCTTGAAGCTTTCATTTCCTCCACCCCAAACTTGTAAAAAAAAAAAAAAACTAAAAAAAACAAGAAAAAAAAACAAAAAAAAAAACAGGCCGCTGGCAAAAAAAAAAAAACAAAAAAAAAATATCGGAAAATGGCGAGGAGGAAACGAGAGGCGATTTCCTCCTTTCACAGTGGCGAGAAGGAAAGTGAGGGTCGGGTTCCTTCTCTCTGCTTGCGGGCCGGCCTTTAAGACAGAAAAAAAATCTACCATAAAAAGAAAAAGTTTACACCTGCTTACGGGATTGAGTCACCGACGTGTAAACAGCGTACCGATACTATAAAGGCACTTGATCCTCGGAAAGCGGCTTTGTTGCTTCCTGTCTAAGGGGACACAAACAGATATACAGATACAGACAGTCGTCATTTTGGGAAGCAATGTTTTTCGCTTCAGCATCACCTGCCCGAAAACGAACAGAAGAAGCTTATCTAGCAAGTCCTGTTGTTAAGGGGCAAATAAATAAGAGCAAGCGCTTCGATAACGTGACCGATTACAGGCCTTACTGAATGTAGGAAAACAAACATGTAGCGCTTAATAGGGGAAAACAATTTGGATTGGTTAAAGTGAGACTGGTGTAAAGGCCACGGAGGAACTACTGATGCCAGGGCGACAATGTTGCTTTTTTCCTGAGATCCATGGATACATAAGCAAAACAAGACGGGGTTTTTACGATATTTACCAAGCGGTCGCGAGCTATACAGACCACAAAGACACGAGATAAAAAAAAAAATATTGACATCAACAAATCTTCTATGGGGCAAACTATATCGACACCAGAGTTACGGGCAAGAATCTCAAGCAACTAAAAAAAAAAAAAAAGTTACAAACAAACAAGTAAGATTTTTCAGTCTTGACGGAGACAAAGTTATTTCAATTCTTATTCCTGACTCCGCCTCAGATTCTGCCCGTGCCCCAAAGAACTTCAACGCAAAAAGCGCGAGCTCTCCCTAGTTAAAACAAACAAGCGCACACGTAAACACACACACACACACACTCTCCATCTCTCTCACGCGCACACACAGCGCAAGACGAAAAGCGAACATACGACCCCAAACAAAGTAAAGCTCGAAACTCGAGGACTCCATGGCGGAAACATGTTCAAAACAAGCCACGAGTCCCCCTAAAAATTAATGGAGAGTGTCCGGAATAAATGCGGAGGCATCTAACAAAAGGAAGAGGAAGGAGAGGAGGCCACGATTTAATCGAGGGTCGACAACCTCCCGTTTGGAGCGCCGGAATGCGCCATTTCAAAGGGGCTTAAAAAAACAACGGCGATGACTCTGCAACGCGCCCCATGCGCCCAAGAATTTACGAGGACGACGCTCGATATATATATACATCCACGTCAAAGCATTTTTTCGCCATCCATCCATAGGACAATACGTTGTGGTGACGCTACCGATTGGAGCAGCATGTGAGAACGCTGCATTACGAACTAAAACATATACCGCCTCTATTCGCAAGAAATACTAAAAAGAAAAGTTAACAAATCAAAAAAGCAGCTTCTTTCCCTCTCCCTCTCTTTCTCTCGGATGGAAAGAAGTCGGTCACGTGTGCATGCCCGGACTCTGGACAACTTTTCGGGCGCAAATGAAACGCTTAGTGTCTCTGATCTCTCGATACGCCCGCGTTTTTCAGTCACACCAGGTGGGCACTGCGCTTGCGCACAGAAACAAGGTTGGAGCGAGGTGAACCGACTGCGCATGCGCCCCGACTGCACCGCCACCGCAGTGGAATGACGTCAGAGCCGCAGGCATGAAAGAGATCCTTTGAATAACCGATACCCGAATCACCTCGAAAGTTTTCCAGCTTCGATAAAAACTCCGCAAAAATCCGTCAAAAAAAAAAAAAAAAAAAAAAAAAAGTTTATTTGCACACTTAAAACAGACTTTCATAGCTCAAAATATAAGCGCGACAAAATCATTTCATGGCCCCTTACGCGGTCTCTCTAAAAGGCTATAGGAATTCGAGACCACTCGCGCAGAAAACGGCGACATAAAAAAAATGGAAGATCAACTCGTCTTTTGCCAGTCAGTGCGGCAAACATATTGCAGCCTCCAAGTCACGAGAGGAATGAACAGATTCTATACGGCCGATAGATATGTACTCGTATATTTCACTCACGTTCCAGGCAGGCACCATGGCGGCGGCGTCCATACGAATGAGGTGCGATCTGGCGGTAGCCACAGCGGCACAAAGCACCTCTGGCGACGGGCAGACGAAACTCAGCGACGCTACGTCTTCCTGGAAAACGAAAAAGCGATTTGTTTTTTCACACAATTGTTTTGTTTTTGTTTACAAGTTATACAAAGAGACGGCCTCGACATATTTGAGGAGCAGTGTTTTCGCATACACACGGTCCCCCACCGAGAATACGAAACCCCGTCTTTTCGGCACATATAAAGAAACGTCGTATCTGAGGAAGTCGAAACTCCGTATGAATCCGACGCTAGCGGTTATGGTGGTTGCAATGTGAAGTTTGAGAACATGACGTAAGAAAGATCTTACTTAAAGTCAATGTCTACTTAGGCCTAATTCATTCTCGTCGAAACAATGAATGGCACCGTGGGTATACCTGCGGCACTCATTTCAGTGGGAAAACTTGTCAGGAGAAAAAGACAATCTTGATTTCCTTCTCGCTGACATGTTATTTTTATCCCCAGTGAAATAAATACCATAAGCTTCATTAAACAATATTTGTGCGGTCCGCGAACGTGTATCGTGAATCAAAATATCCCCCAGAATTCACACAGAAAAATATTGAAGGGCCTCCATTCGCCAAAATGTCCCCCCACCCCACCCCAAAATAAAAAAAAAAAAAATAAAAAAAAATGAAGTGGAAAAAGAAAGCAGACATTTCTGACAATCTGAAAACTGTCCAGTTCCACACGAAAGAGGTATGGGACACACACGTCTATTGCAATTCAGCAAAAAAGAAAAAAAAAAAAAAAAGACAACGCATCAAAACTTAACAGGTAGTAGTTGTACAACCCGAGGAATACAGCGCGGTTAACAGCGCGCCCTTGTTCACGATGGCTCAAAATAAGAGACATGCCGACGCTCCAGCGCCACGACAATAGAAACCGGCAGCCGAGCACGAAGCGGAACGAATCGACGGGTGGTGGCAAGACGACTTATTTACAAACGACAACCGCATGATGGACGAGATCGGCTGTTTTCTTTTTTTTTTTGTCTTGTTTGTTTCTTTTTCTCATGCCCCGGATGTAGTTATCGATTGCGGCACAGGACGATTTCAATAGCGACATCCGAACAGCGTCCCATCACCATCCATCGGTCATTGCCCGCATCATCTGTCACCATTCGAGAAGATGAAAATTTAGTGACTCGTAAAGGGGAAGAAGAAAAAAAAAAGACTTTTCGAAACAGTAAAGAAAAAGAAGGCGCCGGCGGATGATGTATGGGGATAAATGAATGATACGGTAACATCATAGAAACGCTGTTAAAAAAAAAAAAAAAAAAAAAAAAAAAACGTTTTAAATTGGTTATTTTTAAAAGCAGACGGGAAAGTACCCTCGTTAGGTTCCGGAAAGTAACGACACCCAACGTCTCGTTGAAGAAGCTGTGAATATTCAGCACTCCGACGTCACGTCAGCTCAACGCGCCAACGTCGAGGCGTTCCGAGTTGCAGTGCCACTGTGCGCTCGCGAGAGCAGAGTAGAACAATAAAAGCAAATCAGTCAAATTGTTTTCGATCTGTTTTCTTTTTTTAAGAACTTTGCCGGAATTATTTGAAATAGAGGATCAATAACAACCAAAGGCTTCCCGATAACACGAAGAAAACGCGCCTACTCATAACGTCGCCACAACCGAAAAGGACCTTCCTTCACCATCGAGCGCGCCGAGCCCCCGCCAATCGCCAATCCACGGCGAAGGTCGTCCAAGCAGACAGGGAGAGCCAAAAATAGCAACGACGAAAAAACGTGACGCCATTTGACGCCATTCTCTTCGTGCATTCCCAAGTGACTCCAATCAAAGTGGCGTTCTTCTCTCCCGTTGCACTGATCCAGCTCTGCGATCTGCTGACGTCGCAGCAATTCCGTCACGACGATTTCTGATCAATCAGACAGACATACCAGACCCGGCCGAAACCCAATGTCCGTTCAAAGATAAAACTCCAGCTTTGGCGACGTCATACATGCCCCTACAAACGGCAAAGCAACTAATGGCCACACAAACCAACGATACGGGTCACCTTTATCGTTTTATTAGCATTCGCTGCGAACGCCGTTACGTTGCTCGACTGCAACGTCACGAACGACCGCGACTCCAGCAAAACGGACGCCGCCAAGCGGGAAAACCGGGAACCAGCCGGTCCAGGTCGCTCCGCGCCCCTCCGCGTCTCTGGTGGCTTTCGCGGAGACGTGTTGTCGGCGCGGTGCCGAACAATGTAATTTGACGAAGGTCCGAATATTTCTTAAGTTTGCCTGAGCGATCATTAGTGTGGTGAAGCCTCAGTAAATTGTTTTCTTCTATTACGTGTTTGAAAGCCCGTTTACTCCACAGCACACGGTCGCGTGCTTTCGATTTCTTGGATGGGGAGGAATCACGGAAAAACTTTTTGATTTCTTGTCTTTCTCGAATCCCATTCAAAGTGACGACTGCTTGGTAACTGACACTGGAGGGAACACCTATGTTGCAGTCAAGCGAATGGGAAGGTCCGATAGCTCCTTTTGTTGAGTTTGGTTGTGTTCGGTTAGCTTCAAGTTTGAGCCACCTATGCCGGTCGGTGCGTTGGCTATTTATCTTGGCTGCTTTTCGCCGAAAAAGCCACTGGACCACACTGAAGGAGTTGGGCTGATTTCGCAATCACTTTATTTAGGAAAACTTGCTCGCTGCAAATGATGAATAAGGGAAATTATCTGTTTTCAAAAGGTGGGAGACAAGTCTCGCAACGTTAGATGCTGTCACGGCATTTTGACCTATCGCGCCTCCAATATTCATATTACGAGGACGTCGAAGCCAGCAGCAATATACGTCTACATTGGTCAGGTTGACCGGCCACAAAAAAATACTAATTTCCTCCGTTCAGGATTCGAAGCAAAGTTCAATGCAGAGAGGTTCTGCGCGGATCTTCAATGAAGACTCTCTTCAGTTTGTCTCCGTGCTGCTGGCTAGAACCATTTGGCTAAGTTTAAGCAGCTCACCTAATAGCTAGTCAACTAAGCTCATATTTCAACCCGAAGGATATACTAATATCGCTTTAATGGGACATAGTACATAATATAATACATAACCCGCTCGTCAAAATGACTTCTCGATCGCCACTAAAACCTGAATTGAAATACGAGTATCAGCTGCTTAGTGGGGCGCCAGCGGGCTAACATGGTCCTTGGCTCAAGAAGCGCCAGCTTAATTTTCGTAATTTCCCTGCAGCCTGTCTTGTTGACCGAGCAGACGACTGGAGCTGATTCCTAAACTCGGATACGCATAAAGCCGGGAACACATTTGCGAAAAACCGAACCGAAAATCGGAGAGAAATCGGAGGCTGCGAAAATCGTGGCATGCGATTTTCGGATGACGAGCCACATGAGGTGGAATGCGCGGCGCGGAAATCGCAGTGCACTGCGGTTTTCGTGCTCCGACTTCAGGAGGCTGTTCGGTAGTCTGGCGAACTGGCGTCCCATATTTCGCGCCTCTTTAAAACTTCAGCTATTAAAACCTCGTTGCAAGCCACGCGAGCCTTTCTACCACCACCCTTTGATAGAGACAGAAGGGGTTTGCTACGCTGCGCTGCTTCCGAAGCTGCGTGAGCCGCCATGTTGCGAGCCGATCGTCTCTTTTCGTTCCGTCCTGTTCCGGGCTTTCGCTCACCGAGCTCCTCCGCCCCGAATTCGGAGGCGCCGTGCGAAAATATCTGGCGCTGCAGATCTTTCGAACCGCTCCCGATTTTCGGAAAAGGGGAGGAGCCTAGCTGCCGTGCGATTTTCGTGTGCGGTTTTCGCACAAAATTCGGCTTTCTTTCGCAAATGTGTTCCCGGCTTAAAGCTCGATTTCGCAGACAGATAAGTCGCATGGTTGAGGCATGCGAGTTAGCTGAAAATCGCTCTCGGTGGAACAATTCTATAGTGCTCGCCGCTTTCCTTAGATGATCAAAACTGATTAGAGTCTATTACCGTCTCTCCGGAGCCCATAGTTTCGGTTTTGAACGAAATCTCCAAAACGAAAGGTTGACACGAAAATAACAAAAAAACACCGGCAAAACAAAACTATGCTTTGCAAGTTTATCTGCACCGGCTACACTTAACCGTCTCAGTTCAAATACCTATAAAATTGGGCATTAAACAAAAGAAAATCTGTTAAATTGCACGCGCCACCTGTTCAGGCGGCCCGGCCGAGCCGCCGCGACCTGGACTCAACCGCCATGTTTGTTTGGTGGTGGCGCCCCCTATAGGTCGCTGGAGTCGCGAATAAGAATGCACATCATTTTTGTATTTGCCAATATATTTTTTTGTAATAGCCTTATAGCCTTAGCGTCCTGTCTAGTTCTCCCTTCGTTTTTTGTCCCTGTTGTTTTGGCGTATTACTCCATTATATATATATATATATCAGTGTTTCTTCTTTTTTTTTTTTTTTTCACTGGAACGGATTAAACACTTGCCCTGCAGCCCCTCAGGGTCTGTCAAAGGGGCTACTATACAACATAAGGTAACTTCCCCTTTCCCCTCCCAACAACAAAAAAAAGAGAAAACAACCGAACAAAGAAGATTAACGAGCAGCTAATAGCCGAACACGTATGCCCCAAAGATAAGCTTACTGGCAGGCACGAGCAATGTGCAGGCCGTCCACTAACTTATCATCGTACCCACACGGGCACGAAAGAATACCGCGCGGGGAAAGCATGTACGCGACCCAACGAAGGAAAAAAAAAAAAAAAAAAGAGCGCGTGGCGTAGCGGGGTATCCCCAAAATAGCTCCCCAATATCATCTCCAAGGTTTAACAGCCCCGCGGCAGACAGGGACGTGTCACTACAACCCCCCCCCCCCCCCCCCCCCGGCTTTCCCACCAAAAAAAGAAAGAAAAAGTGACAGAAAAGAACTATTAATACTGAAATGAAACGAGAAGTAGAGAGCTAGAGCCGCTCCATTTTTCACGGCCGACCATCCGCCAGCGCGACGCGCGCTATGCCCTGAACCTGACAGCGAGGTGGAAGCTACGTGCTCGTTGGACATGCCTTACCCGCACGCGGAGAGCGGAGTCGGGTGATTCAAGGGAGCCAGTTCAT